CGTACCCTTCGCCTATTAGGCCTCCCTCGCCACTCTCCCCCCCCCCGTACCGACCTCCACCCCTCCCCCTATCCTGAAATCCTGAATACGGCGCTGCATCCAATAGGGCCTCCATCCGGTGGAAATGCGAAAAGACCTGCAGGTGCAAAACGTCAGGACGTCATGTGAAAGCCGAAAAGCTTAAAAAAGCGGATAATAGACAGAAACTAGTCCTTCTGCGCCCTAAGGGTCTGTCCAGAAATTGTGTAATGCTAACAAAAAACTTTTTGGACCCCCCCCCCTCCCCCTCGTTAACAGTTGTTAACAGACGCTTGACCCTCCCCCCTCCCCCTGATGTTAACATAACAAAAGTTTTTGTCATTTTATCTAGTGTTAATTTCTAAACACGGCTCTTGTATCAAAGCTGATGGATGGCAAAGTATAGGGCACGTCAGGTAAAAGCCTAACAATGGCTCGCCGTAGGCGATATGGATGAAAATTCAAGCTAAAATTTCACTAAGAAAGCGAAAATTTCGCTTGTCGGCGCCCGCGGCGGGCAATTTATTTGGCTTGCCTTGTTAACGTTAACACCCCCTTGACCCCCCCCCTTGTTAACAATGGTTAACAAATCGCTGACCCCCCTCCCCCCATGTTATGCTAACATAGTTTCTGGACAGACCCTAATCATTTCATGCTAACGCTAATCCCGTGGTAAAACGTTCCCAGACCAGCGCTCAATGTGCAAAAAAATTAGCCCGATGCGGGGCTCGAACCCGCGACAGCCAGATTAAGAGTCTTTATTGTACCAGTTGAACATTCGACAATTGTTCGCGGTTCACTGGTGGACAACGTATGTACAAATTGGACAATGACACCTGAGTGACAATTGTGTGAACGACGGGTCGGTAGACGAACGCGCGACGCGGGAACGGGAAAAAGCGGTGATCCTCACGGCCGGGAGAAGTGCTGGCGATCACTGGAACGAGTGCAAAAACCGCGCCGTTGTCCTCGCGAACGTCCGCCGCCGGTCGTCGAGAGATTGGTGTTGAGTGCGAAGAGAGCGAGCTCCGTGAGCTGCGTGAATGGTGCTCTGCCGAACTGAGCTAACCGGGCAGGCGGGGGCGTTCTTCGCATTCCTTGGGACTATCCGGACGGCCAGAGGTCATCACGACGCATTCGCGACCGACTGACTGGGCTGATTGACCTTTGAAATGCGAAAAGAACCGCATACCCAAATGCACTAACGCTTTGCTGCGCTGGTCGTTTGAATACAGCCAGTATTTTCGGGGCCAAATAACGTCGACTTTATTCGCAAGAATGTCCGGATCGGCCCAGGTTAAAAAAGCTCCGTAAAGCTCTGATTTGTCTTTTTTCTTTTCTGGGAGCCCAACTTAGGCAGTTAAATATTACGTTGACTTTAGTCGTTTTATCGAGAACAGACTCGTTATTTTCCTTTGTTTGCTTCTTCCAACGACTTTATTGTCCATAGTCTGCAAGGAGGGGGACATTTTGGTGAAGAAAAAATTTCCAAAAGTGTGCATATTTTGTACAAATTTTTTGCCTTATCCTTCAAACTTTCCATTATTTCTTCTTTTCTACTGCTTGAACCGCGATATATTAAGAATTAATGGCCAAAATGGCTTCTCTGATGAACTTTTTCTATGAAAATACGGCTTTTTCGGCGTATTTTTGGTTCAAATAACGGGCACGGGTAACGGACCGTTTTTTTGGAACGGGAACGGGGAGCGGCAGGGGAGGGAGGGGGGGGGGGGTCTTACCGAACACTACCGCAAACAGGTATGTTGCGAGAGAGAAAAAGAAGCTTTTGGAAGGTACCTGGCGAAATGCCGCCGCGAAGGGCACTATCAGTGCCAGCGACGAATACTCGCCCCGACTCAGTTGTGATTTGAAACCGACTCCGGTACCGGTTCCGTAATTCAGTCAGTACCGGTCCCGGTCCCATTGCTCAAAAGTTCTCGAGCCCTGGTCATGAGCATTGTACATCAGATTCGAAAACGGAAAAATGTCTCGAAAGTTAATAAGCCGTTATTTTCTCACCGTATTTTGCCCATGTGCCATTTTGAGGATAATCGTCTTCCACTGATATAAGTGGTTCGTTTTTATGCGGATCGTTATTTCCTTTTTTTACATATCTTTGCTCGACTAATCTTTATCTTACCAGAGGAACTTTATCGTTGAAATGCCTGAAAAAAATCCCGCATCCGAGTGACCTTGACGCTTTGCTGCGAGGAGGTCATGAACGCGCCCCCAAAAAATAGGTCATTCACGAAGCGCCTTTATGGGATGCGTCCGCAGGTGTCTTCCCATTCGGAGCATCATTCGCTTAAGTCGCACAATCATGTTTCAACGCCTCATGCTAGCGCTTTTGTTGCTGTTTGTTTCCGCTGTTACTAGTCGGCGGACCGTCTCAGGAATTCCGCACCCCGATGATCTGGTTGGTTCACACGTTTTCGCTCACGATGACTGATACGAGTTCTGTAGGCACAAATCGAAGTCGCACCGGCCGAGCTTGAGGTCGCGCCGAAGGTTCCCTTCCCGTACGTCAACTGGGCCAACCTAACAGAGTCCATCGTTGCGACGGTAGGTGAACAACCGACGTACATCGAAAAATGAAGCGTTGCAAAAGTCTACGTCTTCTTGCCCCACTAGACTCGGCTTCAGCTCTTGCTCTGCTATCCCGGTAGGAGCTGGGCTGATTTCGGCGGGAGGTGCGCACATTTTGATATTAAGGCTTGCTCACGGAGTGCGAAATATAGCACATTTGTAGTGGGAGGAGACCTAGGCTTTGGGCCCCGCCCGGCTCGGATTGAAAGTTAGCGATATCTTAAGCGAATTTTTGCAAAGATGGCCTGTTGAAAACCCGAATAATTGCCCTCCACTTTTTACGAAACACCTTTAGGACTTCCTAAATGAGCCCAACTTCTCGATCGATGGCCAGCCGGTGTCGGAACCAGCAGATGGAATGGACGACCTCTACGTTAATGCAGACCCGGACATGACGCCTTCTGAGGAACCGTCGACGTACATGAAATCCGGAAAGGTCAGACGAGAAGGACACGGTTTCTGACCGCTTGTATTCTCAAGCTTTCGGCAAATAAATGAATTTTACTGAAATCGACGTTTTGGCGCCATTTAGTTTTGCACCATGGTGTTGTCTTAGCCGTGATCCAATCCGTACCGAACGCCGCACCAAACTGGCGTCCCTTACTGTTCTTAGTACCGCGGAATACAGTACGGAATACGCTTCGGCCAATTGAGACCATATTATTAGTACGTTCTCAGTCACCGAAACGATTGAATATGGTACTTGGAACTCTACAAGTACGGTACAATATGGAAACCCCTACAGGACATTACATACCGTAGAGTTTGGCGCACGGTACAATACGGAATCCGGTCAACTATGTGCAACGGGCCTTTAAGTCGAGGCCCGGCCCGGCAAAGGGGCCTTCCGATCCAGGCCCGGCCCGGGGCCCGGAGCGGGCCGGGCAATGCCTTATGGCCCGGTAAAAGGCCCGTTTCCGCAAGGGTCCGAAAAGTGCCTTTGGTCCCCCTTTGGCACTTTTCTACAGGTAAAATTTTGCACATTAAGTCGAGTGCGATTTACGATTCTCGACGTTCCGCACATAAAATAACCAGCTCCAGGCGCCCTATGGCCACTTTTAGGCTTATTTGTCAAAAATACGTAATATTTTGGCGAAATTTCTCATTTTTTAACCCAATAACCGGGCCCACCCGGGCCGGGCCGGGTCTAGCCTAGGCCCGACGCGGCCCGGGGCCCGGCTAGGGCCGAAATATTGAGGCCCGTACCCGGCCTAGGGCCCGGTTGCACATGGTTCAATCCGGTACGGGTGCCTTGCCCAAAGGGATCATTTGTCAGTTGAGGAAAACGTTCGAGGACGATCTCCCGTCAAGCACAAGGCACCACTTCTAGCGGACAACACGTATTACACGATGGAATCGCAAAACTCCGAAAACAGGGAAGTACTGAAGCTCGCAAAACAAAGGATTTCGGTGCTCACAAATCAGCTGCTCACGCTGCTAGGGCTCTTGTTTTCAACAACTCGTGCGCATTTCCAACGGGATAATCAGGAAATTTATGCATATGCGCACTTTTACGAAGCGTGCCAACGATGGTAAACATGCGTTACGGGTCGTCAACACGTAGCCTACTTAAGGGCTGTAGGCAATAGGAGAACTATCCAGCCACTGTTCACCAACTCTTCAGCTCATCTGGTAAGTCAACTTGAGGTACTTGCGACTCTCCTCAACCGCGACCCGACACGTGTTAGTAGACTTAGACGACCGTACTATCATACGGTCCATACCGTATTCCGTACCGTATTTTACGGGACGGAGTGCGGTACGGCATAAATCTAGTACGGGTTTCCGTACCGTACCGTCTCAGTACGGAATACGGTAGGCATAATTCACTGGCTAAAATGCACTAGTACAACCAAGGTCTGGCTTGTACGGCTTTAATAATGGTCCGTACCGTACTCCGTGCCGTTTTCTACGGTACGGAATAGTGGATGGAAAAATGGAGTGGACAGTACGATACGGAGTGCAGTACGGGGGGTGTCTCGTCTAAGTCTACGTGTCAGACTCTCCCGTGCCTTGAACCGACCCACGTGTCGGGCCCCCGTACCGTGACGCCGTGTCGTATCACGACCAGCAGCACCGTGAACCGGTTCTTTGGTAATTGCAAAACCTGGAATTTCTACGGCATTTAAGCCATTTGTTTGGCCACAGTCGACAAAAGACACAGTTTTGTACCAACAGTGTTTTAATAATAGTCGTATACGGAAAAAACCTTTCGGAATTAAGGCCAGTTTTTGGTTAATGTTTAACAAAAATCGCTAATTTTTGTCTTTTTCAGCTAAAATTTCGGCTAATTTCTGACACCCACCACCATAAGCGTTTGACCCCCTCCCACGAAAATCGATTACCGTAAAAGCTCTAATAGAAGACGTGTTCTAATATAAGACGGCCCCTAATAGAAGACGTGCGCCAAAAATTTCAAGGTTGACTTGTCACAGACACATGTTTAGAATGCGTTTTAAGCCATAACTATTCATTCTAGGCGAGAACTTTTTCTCACCAAAATTTCGAAAAATTTTGCTAAATCCATAGGGGGGACCCTTTATGACTTTTACGAAACCCTCGAAAATTTGACCATCGAAAATTAGAAGACGGGCGTCTTATATTAGAGCTTTTACGGTAGTACCCCGCATTCTATGCAGGGTACTGGCGCATATCTTGATTCATTCCGTACCAGCAACTTTTAGACGTTATCATGAAAGCCTTCGTCGCCTGCACGTTCATCGCCCTAATCGCTTTCTCATTTTTCGAGAACGCCGAAGCCCTCGACTGTCGCAGCATTCGCTACAACGTGGTCTGCCCCGCGGTCGGTACGACTGCGACGTGCGCTAGCTGGTGCAAGGCATTCACCTGGACCGGTGGCACTTGCATCACGATCCCCGCCGGCACGAGCTGTCCCGGAAAGGCGGCTGGCTCGCGCGCCTGCTACTGCTCGTGAAAACGTCGCCAGTCATTTCGACCCGGAACGACCTCTTAACGGACCTGAACACGGAATCGCACGACTACATGCCGTCATTGTCTTTTTTCGAACGTTTCTGCATAATAGTTCCGCTCAGCTTTCAGTAAAATGTTTGCTTCCATCGGACGGATCTTTATCATGTAAGGAGGGGGGGGGGGGTATGGGGGAAGGTTCCACTCTCTTTTAACCGATTAATTCGACAAAGCTATCCTTTTGCTTGCGCTAGCGCGCATGCAGCGAA